TCCACTTTATTATACCCATTTTACACATTTTTAATGGGTTCAGGGTATGAAAGAGAGAAAAATACATTGCCAAAATAGCAAAGTAATTGCGAATCGTAAAGCTCGTGCAAGCATAGAGTATAAATGCTACATAGAACAGCTACCCCAGAGGCATACAATTCAATGTATTTTTATGTATTTTAGCGACGGTTGCTCCTCAACTGTTGAAGAAATAGTCTATAATAAATAATATACTACAATTTCAAATATATTTATAATAGAGATATATTCCCAAAAAGGAATTGTATTTTCAAAAACGACAACTCTTTGATCATTTTAGGACTTGTAGAGTAATACTACATTTAAACGTGGGAACGCGATTCTAGATCAAAATCCTTGTCAAAAATCCTGCACAAAAATAGGGATGTGTTAAAACTTCTCACAGCCATAACTTGGTCAAAAGTGATCCGATTGTCAAAAACCATAGCTTTTTAATCATGGTTTGAACTCTAGTTTAAAACTGGATTCAACGTTGAAAACGCCATTCTTGCTCCAAATCCATGTTAAAGTTCTGTCCCAAAATTCATGTAAAAATGTACACCATAAAAAACCATAGATTCTTCATCATCTTAATTTTCAGATTTTCTCAGATTGCTGCGCATTTTTGAGAAACTTATTGATTGACCCATGCACATCGATAGCTTTATTTTTATTTATTTATAGATGTTGTGTATTTGTGTGTATGTGTTTGTGTGTGTGTGTGTAGAAGTCGTGTGAATGCCTTGGCCCCTTGTCAGGCGCTGACGCGTTCGCTGCTGATGATGCTGGCGATGATTAGCAACGTTTGCTGTCTGACAAATAACGCATACGCATTGTTGCCAGTTACCTCCCAGTTAGCACTTTGACCACTTTGCTTCATCCTGCTCCACCTCCTCTTCTTCTTCTTCCACTTCCTCCTCCTCCTCCTCCCCCTGCTCCTCCTCGTTAACATTTTCGCTGTTTGACTTAATTGACAGCATGTGCACTTTAAGTAAATTGCACTTTAAATATTTGTATACAGTTAAAAAAAATTGTTTGTATATAAAATTTGTAACTTAAAAATCTATTAAATATTTATTAATTTATTAAGCATGAATTAACCCATTTTTTATAAGAATTACAAAAGCTTCTTGTGTTTGTATTTTATATTGTTTTATATTTTTAAAAAGCTCAAAAACTCGACTTAAGTTGCTTCAGTTGTTTTTGTGCATTTACATCATCTTTTTTCTCTCGGTGTATTTAATTGCAGCGAAATGTAATTAAGCAAAAGTTAATGTCGACATGCTGCTGCCTGCAATATATGGGACACCTTACAACTACTTCCACGCCCCCTCTCTCTTTCACTCACACACTTGCTGTCTCACTTTCTGGCTGCACTTTGTCTTCATCTTCGTTGGCATCGTAAATTTCAAACGCTTTGTGGGTCACTGGTCAACTTTGGACGAAGGAACACAAAGCAGAAATTTATGCGCTCGGCTGGCCGGTCAGCAACATGGCGCCAAAGTTCAAAAGCTTCAAAGTAGCTGCTGCAGTACAATCAAGTATCTAGGAGAGGGAGGGGAAGGGGAAAGGGTGATAGTAACTGATTGGCTGGACATACTGCAGCTTTCGTTTCGCATCGATGAGCTTCGTTTATGCTTCGGTTTTGTGGTTTTTTTTGTCTTTCTTTTTATGGTGCTGTCTGCAATTTTATTGCAAATTGTTGCCAACCACTTTTTGGTGTGTCCTTAACAGCAAATTGGCATTGGCCATAAAACAAAATGTTGCTGCAGTACAGCGTGCCTACAATGGAAACGTGACACAAAACGCACAAGTTTGTTTGAACTTTTGCATTTTTTGCATTTGCGAAGCGTGTCAAAAAGTCTGAGCAGAAACAAATGTGTCAACGAAAAATAAAAATATCAAAATGCAAAATGTAAAAATTGAAATGTTATGACGTATAAAATATATACTCAGGAGTATAGTATTCAAGTTGGCAGTTTGGCAATAAAACGGACTGGTTTGATTAACTGTTTTCCTTACCGAGCAACTACTGTACACCATGTAAAAGTAAATTAAATCAAAAATTGTGTATAAAGTGCATAAATGTATTAAATTAATTAATTTATTTTATTTTTCACCAATTTAAATCAGCTCTAAAAGCACAAGTGTTCTCCATATCGATCAACTACTGTACTCTATGTATTCAACGTTTGATTTTCACGCATTATCGTTTTCCATTTATCATTTACCGTTATTATCAGTTTGTAGTTTTGCCTTTTACCTTCTTCGCAATGCGTATTGCGTATTTCTCAAGCGCATCAGCAGCTCATTTCACAAATTCCAAATGGATTTTATGCCACTGCCCTCGCCTCACACACACACACACACACTCATATACATTTATTGAAATGCATGACATGCACACATGTGCATATACAATATGCCGAAAACAATGCACAGATTTACACACACACACACACAAACACAGATAGCGACAGAGACATGGCAAATTTTCAGACAAGCGCCGCAGCGCAGCACAATGCAAGCGTTGAGCTTTTTGTTCTGCTTGGATTTACATACATACGTATTTATGCAAATATATACGTGTAGCATATAATATACATAAATATGCATAGCACTGTCCCTCGAGCATTGCCAAAATCATTAGTTACATTGCACAATAATATGCATACACACACATTTATATATGTATATACAGTAATACAGTGTTCAATCTGTGGTTAAAAATTCCAGCAATTAAAATTCAGTCTTGCATAGCTTTAAGTTCATTGAATTGTGTATGCCCTTTAAATAAAATTGAAGCGCTCTAATTAAATGGCAACCACTGTATTACCCACACATACAAACATACATGAATGTTCACTCCAACACACATACACATGTCTGTATACCTATGTAAATGTGTAATACAATTAATTTGGCACACATTGCTGCATGCATAATTATTTTTTTTTTTGGCCGTCGACACTGCGGCAATTGAGTAAATCCGTGGCATTTGGCAATAATACAAATTTCGCGCATAGACAATTGCAAGTGCTAGACGCAAATAGATTTGAAAGCAGTGTGCGCTAGGTTAGGGTTGACACTGTGAGAAGAGAGAGAGAGAGAGAGGGGTCGAACGAATGAGAAAGTGGAAGGAGTACAACTAAAATGGACTGTGATTAATGAGCCCACTGGCCTCCAATGATGTGCCTCTGACAGACAACAAATGATTCATCTGCAGAAAGTTTGTAGTTGTCACACTGACACTCACACACACACGCACATCGCGATGTCATAGGTTATGTGAACTTTAAATGTGCAGAGCAAATTTACATTTAAGCTTGAAGTGCACAGCTTTAAGGGCAGACAGATGTACGCAAATAAATAACTGTTATAATACACTCAAACACACAATAAGAACAGAATGGAAGCAGCTGGAGAGTAGAGTTGAGCGTGTGAAAGAAGAGCAAACAACAAACTCGAAAAAAAAGGATGGAACATAAAAATTTTGCATATTTAGTGTAGTTAATTATTTGCATTATCTATTTATTTTCACTCAGCATTTCTCACATTATATTTATGTAATTAATATTATGGCTTAATTTGCATTAATGAAATTCCTGACACAATTTCGTAACAAATCGCGTGTTCGTGTCACGACACGCATTCAACACTATTGGAATGGAGGGGAAGGGAACGCAAGCAGCGACAGCAAGCAGCTCCATCAACGTCGCATCGTAAAACTATCAAGGTGACGTCGACGGCGACGTTAACGTCTAATGGCAGTGCCGAAATATTTACCGTTCATTCACAAACACTGTCTCACACGCTATCCATGAGAGCTGCAGGTGTCACAACAACATGGCGTGTGTGCTCTCTTTCTCCATTTGTATACAACACACAGACAACATGTATGCGCACATGAATGTATGTGTGTGTGGTGTGCCTAAGGAATCACCGTTGATCACATTCCATAACAAATCCCACAAAACAAATCCGCATAACTTCAAACGATGCCGCCGACTTCGACGTTTTATTTGTATAAATTCAGTTTATTACGCGCACACACACACGCACAAAGGGGCCTTTGGCAGCCACTTAAAATGTGCTTTTGGTGGGCCAAAAGTTTATTATTTTAATAATTCTTATTGTTTGGGGGCAACAACTACAATTAGGCAACAACAAAAAAGCATCAACTGCACTGTTTGAATCGAACATGGCAACTACAATTGTAGCCAAAACACACAATTCGTATTTGCAGACAATATTAAATGCATGCCAGCAATTTTTGCTTATAATTGTGTGTCTGTTTTGTGCGCAAATTGGAATGCGTATATTTTATTAATTAATTGCAATTATTGATGCCGAACGTGGGCGGAATTTTTGCTTTGATTTTTCCATCCAAGTTTTAACGGTCTGTTTGAAACATAGCACGTGTGCCATCTAACGGCTGGTGTGCGCACTATCTTTGGCTATTCACAATAGAACAAATTAGCCGCTAATCAAGGCGAAGGCAACTTAGCTGGGAACACTTAATTTGAGCGTTTTCTGACTTAAAATTCTTACCGTGCCTGTGGGCTTTATTAAAAGCTATGTTATTTGTCATTAGCATATGCATTTTACATTTTAAGTGCGTGTGTAAAATGAATTTTTATACAGCACAAGTGCGCCATCTGTTGACTTGATTGCTTAATTTGAAAAGACGCGCGACTTTTTCATCGACATATCGGAACTTCAAATTTGTAACTACCGCAAATGCCAGAAATAGTTTGCTTTTCATCGATGAGGCGAAAGTAACTTAATTTGAGATTTTTTTTAGCCTTAAACATGTGTGAGTCATTAAACAATGTGCTATTTGTCAGTAGCTTTTGCATTTTAAGTTTTATGTCCAAGCCCAATTTACATTTTCAAACGGCACACTTGCGCCATCTGTTGAATTATTAGCATATTTTTAAAAAGAGACCCGCCTTTTCTTATCTACATTTCGCAGTTTTAAATTTATAACTTCAGCAAATAAAACGATTTTTAATTAAAAATAGAGAAGTACACTTGGAACACATGATTTGAACATGTCTTGCAGCTCAGTTCAAGATGTGGCAAGGTGCCACATCTTCAATTTCCACGCCATCGAGCGTTTTTATTTGACATTCACAAAGAAAATGTAAAATTTTACGTTCAGCCAGTTTTCGTTGCTCCGGATTTAAACCATCGAGCAGCATTTGAACTTTGTTGAGCAGACTGTTTTTAGTCTGCGTGGGTTGCTGCAACACGTGCAAACAATCCTTGGACTGTTGCAACACCGTCTCCATATTGGAAATAACCGTATCCATTAATTTCTCAGCACTAATCGAATCAGTTTCTTCTATAACATTCTCAATTAATGCTGCTGCTGCTGCTGATGAATTGGCAGTTGAAGTCTGTTCCAATTCGGATTCATCCATTGTGGTGCTCACATCCAATTGTTGTTCGTGTTCGATTGGTTGCATTAATTGCTCCTCCTCCTCCTCATCCTCCTCCTCCATTTGTACATAATCATCGAAATCCTCCCCATCTTGATCCTGATCCTGATACTCATACTGTATTTCATCCTCCAGCTCATCGGCTTCGTTATCGCTGCTAAATGGTGAATCGGCACTCCAAATTTGCTCATTACTTGTCATAGTTGAGCTATCCGATCTATTCGCCGCCAGACATTTGGGCGGACGACCCCGTTTCTTAATGTTCGCTATAATCAAAGGGATTCCCTTGCGAAAATGCCTGCCTAGAAAGAGCAGATCATTGAAATACCTCCAGGTGATGGGCGCCGCCTGATTAATCTGATGATTGCGATATTCACGTGCAAAGCGATCCCGCAACTTCTTCCAGCGATTGTAGATCAATTGCTCTGCAACAAGTCATGAACATTAAATTGATATTAATGAATTGAATAATTTAATATTTAATATTTTCTATGAATTATGCAGCTGCTTACCGGAAACATTGAGGCTCTCAGAGATGGCGCGCCAAGCTTCGTTTTTGGCCGATAGGTTCTTGGAGTTGCGTATCTCGTGGCGATCGTAGAGCACCGGATGCTGTTTGACCAGCTGAATTAGCTGTTGACACAGCTCAATGTCCTCCCGCTCCTCTTCGAATTCCTCGTCCCGCGGCCTTTTATCTCGATCCTCGAGACGCGAACGACGTGGCTTTCGACGACTTGGCATAAATTTCATGCCATCCAAACTCTCGTGCTTGACCAGCCCGTGCTTATAATGATCCTTGAGAAAGAGCAGATGCGGGAACATGTCCCAGTAGGTGGGACTATCGGGATCCTCCTGGAAGCGACGGAATTCCTTGCCAAACCGATCGCGTATGCTCTTCCAGCGTGTGATGCAGGCTCGTTCGCTGGCACCCAATTTCATTGAGATTGTCTTCCATGCGGCGTCCTTGCTGGCCGCATTCTTTGCACTGCGTGCGCTGTCCTTGTCGTAGAGTATCGGGTAGATTTGTATCAATCGTATAAGCTCAACGTCGTTCATTTGATTTTGTTGTTTTTTGTTTTTTACACAACAAGCAAAGAGCGTATTTATTTATTTACTTTTGTTGCTGCAGCCAAAGTTGCATGCGCTCATCGATCTATCGTAAGCATATCGCATGCAATCTATTGCAAATCGTGCGCTCTATCGAACGCATATCGTATGTGATCTATCGAACGCATATCGTATGTGATCTATCGAACGCATATCGTATGTCATCTATCGGACGCATATCGCATGCGACTTGTGCGCCTCGACGCGGGCTTCGATAGACAAAATATATTATTCCCACTGCATATTTTAGATATATTAAGCGTGCAGTGGCAATGAAAATAAATCAAACCCACCAAAATATCAATATCCATCCATGCAAAATGCAAAAATTATTTTCAAAACAAAATATGCCTATCAATATATCGATATATCGGTGTATGCGCAACAGCAAGCATGCCACATAATCACGGCATCTGGCCACACAAGTACCAAGTACCTGGCCACATGGATACGCGCATTGCATATATTTCTGCTTTTTTTTATATTAAATAAATCAAATGCGAACAAGTGCAAATAGAGCAGAAAAAGAAGTTGAAAAGCAGCACGCAAAACGCAACAGCAATTAACAGAGTGCATAATATTATAAGCGCAGCGACCGTGAGTGTATGCGTGTGTGTGTTGGAATTTGCAACTGTGTGTGAATGTGTGTGTGTATGTGTGTGACGGAGATCACCCAAAAAAAGCCGACAGCAAAAGCGCTGCGCCCAGTTTTTTGTTGTTGATTCATTAAATACGCTGCACACAGACACACACCTAAATAGCAACGCAAGGCGACGCGTGTGTGTGTTGTCTATGCATATGTATGCGTGTGCATGTACGAATTGAATGCATATAAGTGTGTGTGAGTTGGAGCAATCTCCCCATAAAAAGTAGCCGTGTCTCTCACACACTAATACAAACGCATTCGCAGCAGCAGCAGCGAGCAGTAAAGAAACAGTTAACGCACGAAAAGAGCGCCGCATTCGCAGCCGGAGCGGGCCAAAGGCAACGTCATAAATTTGTCATCATCGCGTCTAATTTTTATTTTCGGCTTATTTCTCAAATTAACCATTTTCGCACACACAGTTTATTAAAATCAAAATTAATACAAAATGATTCTGCTGGAAATCAATAACCGTATTATCGAGGAAACGCTTCTGGTCAAATACCGCAATGCACAAGCAGGGTGAGTCTTCTTCCTCTACTTGTATCGCTGTCTCATTCGCTCTCTCTCTCTCTCTCTCTCTCTCTCTCTCTCGCGTAACTGTAAAGTGCCCCCATTTTATTTGTCGTTTATCTAATTTCTTGGCTTATCAGTTTTCATTATGTGTTTATCAGTGTATTTCACACACATTTATATATTTATAGGGTAGCCTTACAAAACATCGGGTATAATTTCAACTTGCGGTACACTCATATATATATATATATGTGTTTGTGAGTGTGTGGGCGTAGTATTTGTCATGTTGCTTGGACCCCCTCCTTTTACAGTGCCCTCCCGCGCAGCATTTGTTAATTCGCTTTAGCTCATTTACTGCATTATTAGTGCATAATGCGCCCCTCTCTCTTCTACACACACACAAACAGTGCATTTGAGTCATCTGCGAGAGGCCGTTTGGGCGCCGGCTGCCAAAGCACAACAAATTATTCATTGAAGTCGAGTGAAAATGAAGTGAATTCTGTTATACACCATGGAGCCAAAGTGGCATATTTACGAAATCTCTTCTGATTTGTGTCTCAAATGCTCCAAAATCAATCTAAATGCGAACGGCATCCTGTTTAATCACTCATATTATAACAGATGACTTGTGTTGGTGTACAGTTACTCCAATCTGTTATACTCCATGGAGTCAAAGTGGCATATTCTGGATTCCTCTTCCGATTTGTGTCTCAAATACTCCAAAATCAATCTAAATGCGAACGGCATCCTGTTTAATCTCTTATATTATACCAGATGACTTGTGTTGGTGTACAGTTACTCCAATCTGTTATATTCCGTGGAGTCAAAGGGGATATTTTGGATTCCTTTTCTTCTGTCTCAATACTCCAAAATTTGATTTAAATTGGAGTCAAAGTGGCATATTTATGAATAATTCTCTGATTTGTGTCTCAAATGCTCCCATATAAATCTAAATGCGAACGGCATCCTGTTTAATCACTCATATTATAACAGATGACTTGTGTTGGTGTACAGTTACTCCAATCTGTTATACTCCATGGAGTCAAAGTGGCATATTCTGGATTCCTCTTCCGATTTGTGTCTCAAATACTCCAAAATCAATCTAAATGCGAACGGCATCCTGTTTAATCTCTTATATTATACCAGATGACTTGTGTTGGTGTACAGTTACTCCAATCTGTTATATTCCGTGGAGTCAAAGTGGCATATTTCAGAATTATCCTCTGATTTGTGTCTCAAATGCTCCCATATTAATGAATTCACGAACGGCATTCTGTTCAATAATTTATATTGATGCAGTTACTAGTTTCGTGCACAGTTTCTTTAATCTGTTATACGCTGTGTATGAAAATAACGAAGTTGCTTTCTAATTTATGAGTTATGATTTGTCTAAATAAATAATCCAATGCACAAAATGTTTATTATTATTTTTAAGTATGCCAAATATATGAGCAGAGTTTGCAGCTGAAACTACTGAAAAACTAGTTGTAATATATAAAATCAAAATTCGTTACATAAACCTTTTATGAATCATACAATATTTATGTTTGTTCACATTAATCTGCTCAAAACAATGGCATGCGGGCGATAAGATATTGATTTGAGGCGCAACCTTGTTATTATTACTTATTGTTATTATTACTTTTTAATGTTTATGGAAATGTGTTTTCTTTTGCAGACTCAAACCAGAATCGATAGATATACGAATAGCAGACTTCGATGGTGTTCTATATCATATGTCCAATGTGAATGGTGATAAGACAAAAGTGCGGGTGAGTACCTAATTCAAATACAATTATACATTATATATAAATCATATATACTTTCGTCTTCAGATAAGTATTTCGCTCAAGTTCTACAAACAGCTGCAGGAACACGGAGCCGATGAGCTGCTGAAAAGGGAATACGGAAGTTTGCTAACCGATACGGAGGAAGGTATACATATTGTACTTCAAAGGAAAAAGGATAACAAACCTCTATTGAAATATATTTAAATTTTAATTATAGGCTACAATGTGTCTGTACTTATTAATCTGGAGGATATACCCGCGGATTGGGAGCAGATTGCAAAGAGAATTGGACTGCTAAAGCGCAATTGTTTTGCCTCCGTTTTTGAGAAATATTTCGACTTCCAGGAACAGGGCGAAGAGGTCCAGAAACGAGCTGTTATCAACTATCGCAACGATGAGACGCTGTGAGAATTACTCGATCATAAATTATAGCTATCAATTATAATAGAGATCCCCACTGTAATCCAACAGCTATGTGGAGGCAAAGCCTGATCGCGTCACCGTTGTCTTCAGCACCATCTTTCGGGATGAGGACGACGTCATCATTGGCAAGGTCTTCATGCAGGAGTTGAGGGAAGGTCGTCGTGCATCGCACACAGCGCCACAAGTGCTCTTCTCGCACCGCGAGCCACCCCTAGAATTGGCCAACAGCGATGCCAGAGTGGGCGACAACATTGGATATGTTACATTCGGTGAGTCGTCTATCATTCCAGGATCTATTCAAAATTCCATTCCCCTGTGGGAGTCAAAGTGGCATATTTTGGAGTTCTCTTCCGATTTGTGTCTCAGAAGCTCCAAAATCAACTTAAATGCGAACGGCATCCTGTTTAATCCCTTATATTATAACAGATGACTTGTGTTGGTGTACAGTTACTCCAATCTGTTATATTCCGGGGAGTCAAAGTGGCATATTTATGAATAATTCTCTGATTTGTGTCTCAAATGCTCCCATATAAATCTAAATGCGAACGGCATCCTGTTTAATCCCTTATATTATAACAGATGACTTGTGTTGGTGTACAGTAACTCCAATCTGTTATACTCCATGGAGTCAAAGTGGCATATTCTGGATTCCTCTTCCGATTTGTGTCTCAAATACTCCAAAATCAATCTAAATGCGAACGGCATCCTGTTTAATCCTTTATATTATAACAGATGACTTGTGTTGGTGTACAGTAACTCCAATCTGTTATATTCCGGGGAGTCAAAGTGGCATATTCTGGATTCCTCTTCCGATTTGTGTCTCAAATACTCCAAAATCAATCTAAATGCGAACGGCATCCTGTTTAATCCTTTATATTATAACAGATGACTTGTGTTGGTGTACAGTTACTCCAATCTGTTGTACTCTGTGGAGTCAAAGTGGCATATTCTGGATTCCTCTTCCGATTTGTGTCTCAAATACTCCAAAATCAATCTAAATGCGAACGGCATCCTGTTTAATCACTCATATTATAACAGATGACTTGTGTTGGTGTACAGTTACTCCAATCTGTTATACTCCATGGAGTCAAAGTGGCATATTCTGGATTCCTCTTCCGATTTGTGTCTCAAATACTCCAAAATCAATCTAAATGCGAACGGCATCCTGTTTGATCACTCATATTATAACAGATGACTTGTGTTGGTGTACAGTAGCTCCAATCTGTTATATTCCGGGGAGTCAAAGTGGCATATTCTGGATTCCTCTTCCGATTTGTGTCTCAAATACTCCAAAATCAATCTAAATGCGAACGGCATCCTGTTTAATCCCTTATATTATAACAGATGACTTGTGTTGGTGTACAGTAACTCCAATCTGTTATATTCCGGGGAGTCAAAGTGGCATATTCTGGATTCCTCTTCCGATTTGTGTCTCAAATACTCCAAAATCAATCTAAATGCGAACGGCATCCTGTTTAATCCCTTATATTATAACAGATGACTTGTGTTGGTGTACAGTTACTCCAATCTGTTATACTCTGTGGAGTTAAAGTGGCATATTTATGAATATCCTCTTCGATTTGTGTCTCAAATGCTCCCATATAAATCTAAATGCGAACGGCATCCTGTTTAATCCCTTATATTATAACAGATGACTTGTGTTGGTGTACAGTAACTCCAATCTGTTATATTCCGGGGAGTCAAAGTGGCATATTCTGGATTCCTCTTCCGATTTGTGTCTCAAATACTCCAAAATCAACTTAAATGCGAACGGCATCCTGTTTAATCCCTTATATTATAACAGATGACTTGTGTTGGTGTACAGTTACTCCAATCTGTTATATTCCGGGGAGTCAAAGTGGCATATTCTGGATTCCTCTTCCGATTTGTGTCTCAAATACTCCAAAATCAATCTAAATGCGAACGGCATCCTGTTTAATCCTTTATATTATAACAGATGACTTGTGTTGGTGTACAGTTACTCCAACCTGTTGTACTCTATGGAGTCAAAGTGGCATATTCTGGATACCTCTTCCGATTTGTGTCTCAAATACTCCAAAATCAATCTAAATGCGAACGGCATCCTGTTTAATCCCTTATATTATAACAGATGACTTGTGTTGGTGTACAGTAACTCCAATCTGTTATACTCCATGGAGTCAAAGTGGCATATTCTGGATTCCTCTTCCGATTTGTGTCTCAAATACTCCAAAATCAATCTAAATGCGAACGGCATCCTGTTTAATCCTTTATATTATAACAGATGACTTGTGTTGGTGTACAGTTACTCCAATCTGTTGTACTCTGTGGAGTCAAAGTGGCATATTCTGGATTCCTCTTCCGATTTGTGTCTCAAATACTCCAAAATCAATCTAAATGCGAACGGCATCCTGTTTAATCACTCATATTATAACAGATGACTTGTGTTGGTGTACAGTAGCTCCAATCTGTTATACTTCTTTATACTCGAAGTGGAATATTTGAGTAATATCTTCAGAATAAGTTCTCAATTCTTTCGATAAAAGAACAGCATTCTGCTTAATCCTTCATAAGCTGTTGCTTGTGTTTCCAGGATAGTTTCTCCTAACTGTTATACTTATATAAACAATTCCCCTACTTTATCTTGATTTCTTTGCCTAATTCAATTGTTTTGTTTATATTTGCAGTGCTGTTTCCACGACATACCAATAAGGAGACACGGGATAATACTATCAATTTAATACACATGTTCCGTGATTATTTGCATTATCACATTAAGGTAAGCGATAAAGAGTAAATAATGCTATATATCTTATATTAAACTGTTCCAATTTTGATATAATAGTGTTCAAAGGCGTACATTCATTCGCGTATGCGCGCAAAAACCTCCGACTTCCTCAAGGTGCTAAACCGTGCAAGACCCGAGCCGAAGACTACGGAAAAGAAGACTATAACGTAAGTTATTCTCTTTTTAATCTTATTTAATCAAAATATTAATTTGATTTTCGTTTTTTGTTCTAGGGGGAGAACATTCGTCCGCAAGGAATGATGTGCGGCGTATAATTAGTTGTTTTTATATAAATATAAAAATAAAAATAGCAACAACAAAAAAGAGTGTATTAAAAATTGAGATAAACTGCAGAATTTTTGGCATTAAGTTGGTGAAAATAAATCAATAAAAAGCCGCTCACAGTAAAAACGAACTTCAGAAAGTATTCCCACAATGAGCTAATTGTAAGCCGGAGCAAGTTGAATGAACAAAAAACAGAAGTAAAATATAATAGTTATGCGTTATAATATATTTAAATTGTGTGTGTATGTGTTTTGTCGAGTCAGCAACCGTATCAGAATCAGCCAAGTCAGCCACAAAACTAAAGAATTGTCAAAAACAAATAACAGAAAACATTTTAAACTAATGCCTAGAACTAAGTAAAGAAGAAACAAAATGTCGCAAACAAAACCAATCTGTTAATTGTCGCAATTGTCAAAATGCTGCCCAAAAAAAAAAAAATACATCCCTTTAACTAGCCAGTATGTGTAGAGAATTAAAAATCAAAAAAATAAATAAATACTAAATTAATACCTTTGATACAACAATAAATTCCAAAAACAAACTGATTTCAATTAAAAAACTGAAAAGCTAAATGCAATAAAACAAAAACAAATCAAATTTATTTGCCCACTAGTTTTATTCATATTTGTATATATAAGTTGTATAACAGTTTTATATAGATAATAGTTTAAATCTTAAACTTAACATTTTGCTTCTCGTTCATGCTCTCCACACTGGCCTGCAAATTCAGATAGTCGCTCTGAATGCGCACACACACTGCAACAGACAAAAAAAAGAGAGAGAGAGAGAGGAGAGAAAAAGAAAAGCAAGCAAAAATTAAGCTTATATATATAGTCGTATATGTCTTTTATACATATATATAAATATTTGCAAAAATCGCTACTTACATTGGCAGTAGATTTTTTGTCTAGTTTTTTGTGTAGTAGTAGTAGTAGTAGTAATATATATATTAATATTCCGATAGTTTCTGGTGCTTTTTGGTGATGTTATGCAAATGAGTATTTACAGAGAGAAAGAGAGGCAGAGAGAGGGGGAGAGAGAGGGAGAGATTTCCCTAGGGATCATCGTATTGTTCCAATTTGATATAAGCAAGTGCTGTTGTGATAGAAAAGTGTTAGAAACGTGTGTGAGTTAAATAGTTAACTTTTAACAATTTATATATATATACACAAATATTTTGACACTAGCGTGCTGGCTCAAAGAATCGTTTATCATATTCTATATATATATTTTATATATATACAGACACCATGCGTGAGTGCTAAACTAAAGAAACAAGAGGAAGAGGAAAAAGGCTTGGCTCGCATTTGGGGCACAAACTGGGGCAGATGGGCGAGAATGAGCCAAAGAGTAATACACAAATTTGTGTTAAATAGCTGCGAGAAGCCCTTTTCAAAGCCACAGTGGTCGCTCGGTAAATGAAACTTTTATTTTTTCTAATATTTTTTATTATCAGTTGATTTTTTGTGAACAACTTTTTAATTTATATATGAAATCGTTTTTTTATTAGAGTCTTCTTCGACTTCTATGCAAAGGTTTCTTAAGCTGGCATATTTAAAAAAGATACCTGATGGTGCTATTATTTTTATCACAACTGTATTTATTCATTTATATATTTTTTCTAGTTGTCAAGCGACCACTGTACTTACATATATGTTTTAGGGGTTTTTTCTTAAATTTACATACCTTTCTGCAGATCCATATCATCCATTTCGGAATTTTTAATCTGTTGCAGTTTCTCGCGAAACTTTTTGGTTATCTGCTTGCGTTGATAATCGGCTTCGATTTCCTGTTTGGTGCGCGGTATGCGAAACCGTATGCAGCAACAGACCATAATCACTAAGTTAATTATAAATTAATATAATCTATAACTGTGTATCAATCAATATATATATATATATCATCTGGCACCCACTTAGACTCATCAGTATTCCCAAAACAGAGGCAATAATGTGCCAGCGTCGCAGCCCGCCAATTGTTATCTTTTCCAGCCAAGCTTCCTTGGGATCTATGTCAAAGATATCCGTATCGTCGTCCATTGTGTGTTATTGTAGCCTATCCTCCTTACGCAGGTATTCGTTGAACCGTTATAAAAACTATTCCACGTCTGGCTGGTTTGCCTGGCCAATGGGGACTGCGGCTCCGCTGTTCATTTGACTGGCAAAGCTGAGTCGAAACTGGGTGCTAACAGCACATATACAAATGAAAGCGGGCTATTGTTGCTGGGATATTTGCGACACACCCTGTATAGATTATTAAACGGTGTGAAATAACAAACAGAGCCGCAAGTTGTCAATGTTGAACGGTTTGTAAATACCCTTTAGTTTAATAGGACACGTTAAAGTCTAGAAACCCTTTTTTAATATAGTATATTATAGTATTGAATATTAATTAATTTCCAAATCAAAAATACTTAATTTTTCATTTAACCAGTTGTTTTCATAGATATGCCAATGTAAAGCTCCATAACCAATATGCTCCATTGCTGTATTCAATTTGTCCTTTGATCCGTTGTAATGCTAGATATTTTACTACAGCAGCGTTGTCCATTCTGCATGTGAAAGCGAACAAAAATGACAATGGACGCCTTCTTTCCGAAACTGGGTGCGGTTAACGGTTCTTTGGTGCGTTCCGTTAGCCGAGCGCCACAGCAGGACTAAGTAATTTTTTTTGTTGCTTTGCAGACACCAGAACTATAACTATCTAAGAGAGAGTGAGAGAGAGATAGTGAGAGCTAGACAATTTGTAAGTAGCAACAGCCATAGAGATGCGCACGTGTTGGTAACTTTGACAGAACTTTTGCATGAAATTGTAAAATTAGCTTATTCAGAGACAAGTTATGTTAATGATAATGTTAACTTTTCCAATATTGTAAAATGTTTCTTTCATTTTATTTAATTTAAAGTTGCTTAAAATTTGTAGAATATCTTAAAATGTTTTATTTCCTTTTATTTAATTTAAATTTGTGCAGTATTTTAAAATGTTTCTTTCATCATCCTTAATATACAATTTCCCTTGTCGCTTAGCAGCGTGCGCTTTCGTGACACAATAGAAAGCACGAGCACATCTCTAATAAGTAACGCTAAACCCAACAGGAGACAATATGCATATGGTGACACACATACATACACAAATAGATAGTTAGCCACATGCTGGGCACACCCAGCCAGCGAACTAGTCAGTGAGCAAGTAACCAGCAAGCAAACAATAAGGCAGGCAGTCTAGCTAGAGAGGAGTAAGCACAAAACGCCCACTCGTTTGTTAGATATTTAATTTGTTGACTCTTTGGGGGCCGGGGGATGGGGATGGGGCGTGAGTGTTTGCCTAATGACTGTGGCATTTTGACTTTTGGCGTGCTTATTTCTGATTGCAATTATAATTATTGTAGACGACCTTTATTAATTTCCAGAAATGAAAGGAAGCTATAAATTATGTGACAGTGGCAGGCTAACTTTTTAATGAAGACTAATGCCAAATAGACTAAAAGTCTGTTTTAAACAGTTTTACATATAAAATGTATTTTCCTTTTCCATTGCACCTGCCCCACTGTGCCCTGTCCTAGTGACCTAAAAAAAGAGAAGAGAAATGGAGCACAGATAATTGCAAACGTAAGGCTCGTTAAGCTTTTGCGTTTGCTGTTACGTTATTGCGTTAGGTGGCAGCGCTGTCGCATTCACAATGAACAACTCGCCCCACAAAGCGCCTGTGCACAGAGCAATGTTACCGTTCGAAAACGAACGAGTTGAACTCACACACAGAGTGACAAACACATGCAAAACTTTCATTCACCCACTCATTCAACAAAAAAAATACATATATATATTGCCTATCCTTGCCACATCGCTGCTCAGTTTCAGTTGAGGCTCTCGTTCGGTGGCACACACGCTGGGCTCGTCGCAGGGCAAGAAGAAAAAATACAATTAGTAAAAAGTAACACAATTCAATAAATCAGTTAGCAAAAAAAAAATACAACCTGAAAAATCCAAAGGAAGAAATCGAAATAAATAAAAAAATATATTGAAATTGTATTAAATAACACACACACACACAGCAGCAGAAGAAGAGGAAGAAGCAGCAGCAGCAAACGCAGTAAATCGTTCAAAACGTTGTACGTATTCGTAACGGGCGTGTGTGTTTGTGTGTGTGTGTGTAAGCGTGCCTGTGTGTGTGTGAGTGTGAGTGAGTGAGTTAGCATGTGTGTGTGTCGAGTACATAATAGGGCCATGGAGTTTTTATATTGAAAAACGAAAAACAGAGCGCAAGGCAAATAGGCAAAGAAATCTCAGAGGCCACACACACACACATATATACATATATAAAGGAGTTGGTAGAAAAAAAAATGTGGCCAGAGCAGAAATCAAAGAAAAACTCCACCAAATTTTTCAGCTAAATTGTGTAAATAAAGTTTAATACAAAATGCAAATGTCTATATAAATTAAGAAAAATATATATATATATATCTATATATCGAGCCAACAACAACACGACAATTGGCATAGGTGTGGGAAAGTGTGTGCAAAAAAAAGAGAGCAAAAAAGAAGGACGAAACAACGACGAAAGGAACGCGCGCGCGTGTGTGTGTGTGCGTGTCAAATGCGTGGGTGTGTGTGAAAGGTGTAAAAAATATACATTTTGTGAATTGGCCACCTAAAAAAACGCATAAGAGAAAACGAGTAACGAGTGTGACCAAAAAAAACGTAATAACAACAACGTAACGACAACGACAACCGTTATATTTAGCCGCCGCCGAGTCATTAAACGACCTACTAACACCAACGCACACTACGCACAAATGTAACTGTTGTTGTCGTTGCTGCTGCTGTTGTATATATATACATATATATATAAATATATATATTTACATAAATGCATGACAACTGACAACGGACAACTGACAAAATGCACACAGATCTCGATAGCATCGGTATCGATATCAATAGAAATGACAGCAAGTGCGCACTGCCAATGCGCCGTCAGCAGCAACAGCACTTTTATCAGCACACAACTCGTCCACCCACGCAGTGAATTCAACTAACTAATAAAACACCCAACAAAAAAATATTAATAAATAAAAAAAAACCAACAGCAAAGTAAGCACCGCTTTTAACACCAGCAAAAATTTCAAATGCATTGTTTTTTTTTGGTTTATATGTTTTGACCGCTCAGTTTGCACACAGCGCCGCCAATGTATCGATAATTGGGTGATAATAATCGATCGAAGCATTGTTTTTAAGCTTTTTTTTCGGCCATAAAATCGATGAGCTAACTAGCTACTATCGATAGTATCGCTGCACGTGCAAAAAAGAAACTATTGGCACGAACTTAGCGCACACGCATAACTAAAAACAAGCAGTAGAAGAAGAAGAGGCATAAGTCGAGAGAGAGCGCATCCAATTGGATGTCGGACTGTCAGACGGACACGCACGTACGTACGGTTTTTTGTTACAGCGGCACTTTTGGCTTGGCTTGCTTTGGGGGCAACCCCCGCCACCAATTCCCCACCCCCCTCAAATTAAAACAAAAGCAAAACACGAATTAAATGTAATTAAGTGCATTTAAATTTGATGCTTACGTGATTTGTGTGCGTGTGTACATGTGTGTGTGTGCTTGTGTGTGTGCTTGCGTGTGTGTGTGTGTGGCTCAAAGTTTCATTCAAACGAAATGCACAAAACAAAAAGGCGGAGAACATTGAAAATTATAAGCTAGTTTCCCATATTCTTCTTTGCCCTTTTTTATTTCGTCAAGTTTTAATGTAAGCAATTTCGCGTGTGCCTTTTGCACTCCTATTCTGTGTGTGTGTGTGTGTTGGTTGGTTGGATCTGATTGGGGCTTGGTGTTGTTGCCGTCATCAGTTCTTGCTGTTGTTGTTGTAGAGGGCCTCATTTGTTATGTCAATAATTAACAGTAAAAAATTATGAATATGCTTTGTCTTCTACAAACAATTCTGCGGCTGGCCAATCAAAACAATTAGTGAAGTTTTTGTTTTTGCAATTGCATTTGGCAATCGGTAGGAAAATTGGAAATTGATTTTTTACCAAATGCACGAATATTTTTTTATTTTATATTTTTTTGACTGACCAGCTTTTGGTTTTTAGCATTCCAATTGGATTTTTACAGCTGCGCGCCGCTTGCCCAATTGGCACATTGTGCGCTGTTGTTGTTGTGGATGCTGCTTGTCTCCTCTCATTTTTGAATTACATTAAATATTTAAAGCATATGCAAATTTGAACAGTAGCCCCATAAAAAAAAATAAAAAAAAAATACCTGACGCGGCCTTAACGCGCTTCTTATTATTGTTACTGCTGCTGCTGCTGCTTGCTGCTCTCAGCAATGACGTCGCTCTCTCTCCCTTTCTCTCTCTCACTCCTGGCCTCTCCTCTTTTGGTTTTCCATTTTTTTAGTGGCAGCGCGTGGCGTGCGCCCGTTTTTAGCTTTAGTGTCGTGTAAATCGTTTTGTGTGGCAAGTGCTCTGCCCTTTTTTTATTTTTATATTCTTTCTTTTTTTTTGTGGCCCTTTTACTACCTTTTTTTGCATTGCGGAGCACTCACGTTCACCCACACAAGCAAATAAACACACACACACACATATATATATATATATACATGTACAGAGTGCAATCAGCGCTCGCTGCTCAATTCAAAATGCATTTCGATTGCTTTTGCCCTCTCTTCTTACGTATGTGTGTGTTTGTGTGAGTGCACTCAACTTGTGAACGACAATTTCTTAAACACCATTTTCGTTTGATTCCTTTCTGCATGTGCCAGGTGTTCGTGTATGTGTGTGTGTATGTGTATGTGTGTAACACTACTTGCTGCTCCCTTTTGCACAGCCGTACCCCCCACCCCTCCCGGTACCGCCTCGTCTCGTTTGTGCTCCACTTGCTTGTGACACGTGCCCATGCATTGTGCCGCAACAAATTTACTCTACTTTTGACTTTTGCTCCGCTTTTCGCCCAGTCTACAATTGTCTATAAAAACTCTGTGACCTGTATGTGTGTGTGTGTCTTGATTTAAACTCCTTTTGGCTGGCAGAGTGACCAGACTACAAATTGAAGTCAGGCTTTGTTAGGCTTCAGCAGACAAATTGAACACAACATTGCTGTGTCTAGTGAAAACATCAACACTTGCTGACGGTTTTTGTATTATTTTGTCAGGGTATTTGTCAAATATTGACAGACAGAATCAATTTTTCAAACCGAAAACTATTCTTTACAATAGTACATTCAAACACTTATTGGAATTTGAGTTTTATTTAATTTAATTATTTTTAAATGAAATTCGTGCTATCAGAAAGTGTAAATATTAATAGACTTGAATTGAAATTTTCCATAAAAAAACAATAATGTGTATTCAAAAACCTATTAAAATTTAATTTAATTGTGGGAAATGAAATGAAAGCCACCAATAAGACGAAATAATCGCCTTGAATTGAAATTTTCAATGTAGTAAAAATCTTTATTTGTTGTTACATTTTTTGGAATTATTATTTTTTGAATATTTTTGTAATTTATACTTAAACATGCCTTTAAATTTGTGTTTATCATGTTTTCTTTTATTTTGTGCAGAGGTGGAATACAGCACTCAATAATTGCATTATTTTTAGTATACATAGGCACAATTGGTAGTATTTTTGACCTTTTTTTATGAGTCACTTTTAATTTTGTCAATCAATTTATGCCTTCATTCCTCTCTCTAAACATTTTCATCAGAATTGACAAATTGACAGTCTAGAGACTGACCCCAAATGTTATTGGCCCTTTTTGAAGCCATAACTGTTTATCACTTCACTTAATCGATTGGCAAGGTCAACCTACAACTGCTTCTGCTGATAAACATAACCATAAACAGTCGATGAGGTTCAGTTTGTTGTTGTTGTTATTTACAGCTTGTAATTAAAACTTGTTGATTGTGGGCAGTAATTGAGACTACAAACAAACAAAGCAGCAGCAGCAGCAGCAGAAAGACAAACGTGTATTTGATTTATTTGACATACTCGCCTACCTTTAAGTAAATAAGTAAATACAAAATTGTTTTCAAATTGCTATTTAAGACTCGAGGCCCTTTTATGGGTTTGTGCTTTGTGTGTGCGACTAGAATCTTATCTTAGAATCTTTTAGTTGAAGATTTTCCTGGGATTGAACAGCAACAGGTTTAAAATCAAGCGGAACATTTATATTTTGAGAATATGTATATAGTAATTAAGATTGAGCAGCTTTTAAAATTGAAAATATCTTTGAAATAATGTTGAAAATATTTCAAAGACATGTTTTCAAAACTGAAAAATTACTTTGAAAAACTGAAAAAGTATTGATCTACTTACAAAAAATGTGCTGCTCAATGATTTTAAGCCTAAAAATGCTTTAAAAATGTTTGACATTGCTTTCAAAACTGTTTTTGGTGCGAATAGGGAAAGTGCTTAAGTTAAAATTCCAACATATTTTTAAGTAGCTTTCGGAACTGACAAATTACTTTGGTGCGCTTGGTCAAACTGAGAAAAATGTTAAAAACTTGATAAATACGTTGATATAATAATTTTTCAACATATTTTGAAGTAGTAAAAAGTACTTTTCCACACTGAGAAAATGTTGTAGAACTAAAAAGATTAATTTTGCTATAAAATAGCAAATAGTATATATAAATAAATTTTGAAAATAATACTAATTTGTCACTGCTTTTCTTTCTCTCTCTCTTGCAGTATCTTCTAAGTAAAGAAAGTGGCCCACTGGCAAAAATACGAAAGAAAGAAAATCAATTAAAAGAAGAAGCAAAGGCAGCTGAAGCTTGAAACAAGTGCAAGAAAAAAGTGCTCAACAAAAGTCATAATTATAATAATTATACAAGAAGGTGAGGTGTGTGCGTGTGTGTGTGTGTGCTTGTATGCGTCAGTGTGTGTAAGTGCTTGTGCGCGTGTGTGTGCGTGAGTGTGTGTGAGAGGGGCTAAAGCCAAAGAATCGTCACAACGTCGTCCGCAAAACCAACGACATCAGCCGCTGCTGCTGCCGCCGCCGCCGCTGCTGCCGCAACAAGAACAACAGCAACAACGACTGCAACAACAGGAACAACAACTGCCAAGGTTAAGTCACAAGATCCGCAAGCAGCAGGAGCAGCAGCAGCAGCAGTTGCAACAAAACGCAGCGGCGGCCATCGGCGTCGCAGTAGCAGCAGTAATCCAAACGCCGGCAACACGAAAGCTACCAGCGGCAGCGGTGGAGCTGGCTGCGCCGGCGTCGCTGGTGGTGGCGGTGGAGGCGGAGGCGGTGGTGGGGGCGGTGGAGGCGGCGGGGGCGGTGCAACGGCCAACATTAAACAGAGCGTCAGTCGCAACAGCAACATACGCAGCAGCTCCTCCAACAGCACCATGGCATCGGCAAATCATCGTGGCGGACGTGGCAACATTGCCGGCACCACAAATCCCGGCGGCGGTGGCGGTGGCATCGGCGGACATGGTGATGCCAATGCGGCTGGCTTACAATTTGGATCCGCCTGGTTTCAGCGCAAAATCAATCTAAGGCCGCAACATCGGGGCGTTCATCTCGTCACCGAGGAGATATTGCGACAAATGCCCGAACTGACGCAATTCTCTGTGGGATTATGTCACATGCAAAGTGAGTACAGAGCGGCGAATTATCCTGTAAGCAATGCAAGATGAGAATGGAGAGATGGAAAGTTGATGTTTTGAGGGGAGCTTACTTACAAGCAGTAGAAGGATCTGATGTTGAAAATTGCCACTCAGATTAAAACAGATACTGTAGATTTGACAGAGTGCAGAGTACTATGCATATTGATATATTAGGGGAGTTTCCTTATGTGAAGTAGAGATCCGATTATGCAAATTTGCTTATAATTATCATTGGACAATATAATTGTCTCCTAGGTGGTTATAATCTAAGACGATTTAAACAAGTTATAACCTTGGGAAAGTCTTAGGATGCACAGGACACTGTAGACTAAGAAGTCACCTAACAAAGGTATATGTAGTAGCGAACTATGCAGGTTTTGTGAAAGAGAGGAGGAATCCTCGATGAACATCCTAGCAGAATGTGTCGCCTTAACAAGAAGAAGATGCAGCGTCCTAGGGATGCATGTTATGAATTTCAGAGACATAGAAATGGATGATTGTAAATATGTAAACAGTATAGTATAATATGGTAAAATAGGCCATTGATCTTTTTCTAAATGTTAGATGGTACATAGCATATAGATATATGGTATTTGGTACATGCTGAAAAGCTCTCAGTGTTGCTGAAATCATAAAACACTTTTCACTATACTGTTCACTGTTCATTACTTACTTGCTACATTTTATCTAATTTCCCCATGAATTTCTGTTGGAAAAGTTTCTTTTCTTTTTAATTTTTTTGGTAGCACACTTTGGATTTGCAGAGTATATCCATTTGTGTCTCTGTTGCTTTTGACTCAAAGTTTAGTTAAACAAAAAACCAAATGCGAAACTAGCATGACACAAAATCAAAGTATTTTTTAGCTAAAAGTTTAAGCTTGCTTTTTGGCAGCTGCTTTTGCCATTTTGGCCAGTTCACTTTGGTGAACTGCAGTGGCAGGGCCAGTAACTGGGTTAAGTTGCATACGTCTATTGTATATATAAACTTAGTCTCTTCTTTTTTTGGGCTGAATGTCGTCCCTTTTGGTCAGCGCTTTGCTAGACATCGATTTAATTTGGCCTAAATCGTCTTCGTCTACGGCTGCAATTCAATCTCAAGCAAAGTAAATGAATTGATTGAGTGAAAAACTTCAATGACAATTTCATTTTTTTGCTGTTGGAAACGAATCTTGACTTGGTCAAGTTGCAGTCAGAACAAAGTAGTCAAGCCATAGTCAATAAAAAAACATGCAGATATAGTTGCTTTGCCATATTTGTGGGATTGTCGATTTAGTACAAGCCTTACTCATTTTTAGAGTGTTTAGTGTTCAGGGTTGGTTCCTTTGCTGAGTGTATTTAAATATATATGATATAATCCCCAGAAGTTTACTACACTTGTATGTTCTGTTAGTTTGGAGTACAAAGCATGATCGGAATACATTAACTTGGATATATATGGCATAAGCCGCAGATATAAGCTGCACTCTATGTGCTGCTGGCTCAACTGCTACATTGCTATTGCATTTGCAGTCTGGCTGCTGCACTAATTCCCAGCTCAAATGCTCGACAACGACTTCTGACAGCCTCCACCAACAACAGGAACAACTTAGGCAACAATAACAACATTTGCCTCAAGCATTTTTGCGGTCTTGTTGACAGTTTGCATTACAATGGCAGTGGACGCGTTTCTCAGTTGCTGCGTTCGCCTCTCAGACATGAGCAAATAAATAAAATCGTATCATAAAACGGCAGGAGGCAGGCATTTCGAGGGGTTTTTGGGGGGTTGGTTGGATGCCAAGGGACGTTTTTTATTTTGGGGACGAGAGTTGGCGCTTAGAAGAAGCTTGAAAAGTGAAATGCAATCGTTGTCGTTTCGCATGTCTTCATGTCATGGCTCTGCGGCTCTGTGGCTATATGGCGTGTGAATGCTCGAGGCAAACTTATTCCTGTGCCAAAGTCTCCCCCCCAATTTCATGCACCATCCCTTCCTCTTCTCCACATAGTACACAAATCGTCTTATCCCCATTCGAGTCTCTTTTATGCCTATCTTTTTCTTGTTGCCTAAACTAGCAGAGGGTATTTTAGTTGTGTCAGGAAGTCTGCAACGCTTTGAAGATTGTTATTATCTTTGAAATCATTATGAATGCATGTGTGTATATATTTGCAGGATCAGGAGATTGATCTTAGACTATATTATCTTATCCATCTCTGCTCCACCTTGGCCTGCATTTAATATAGTTTCTGTATGCACATTTTTGGCACATTCATCTTTAATTTATATGTTCATTTATACTTTTGCTTATTATTTACTTTAGCATAACTTCATATTACCCTTTTAAGAGTATTCTTATTATTTAAAGTTATAGAAAGTTTTGCTAGGGTATTCAAGATTCTTTAGCTGAAAGTAAATTGTGATTTCTTGTTATTCTTTTTATCTTTGGGCCAAATGAAAAGCACGTGTGTTTGCTATGCCACCTCCCCCCGCTCCCCGCCCCACCCAAAATGAATCTGTGTGTTGTATATGTGTGTGTTTGTGTGTGTTTGTTGTTCTTGTTGTCTGGGGATCCGTTTTGGGGGTACGTATGTATTGTGAACTGTAGTAAGCGGAATCTAATTGAGGTCAAGACATGTTTATTGATTTTCTTAAAAGGACTTCCTAATTAGACTCACTTTACTACACACACACATATATATATATATATATCAATATGTATAAGTATGTGTTCCAGTTGCCCAGAAACCTCTTACCTGCACGTGCAGCTCCTCCTACTTGCCCCTGCCTCCCCATTACTGTCACAGCTGTGCAAAATGTGCAGCGCCATCACAAATCAAATGACAGTCAACAACGCCCCTTCTACGCCCCTTTGCCACCTGCCCCTAGTTGCGCACCCCTTCACAAATGGCACGAAAAAAAAAATAGAGAAAAGAAAAGTTAATTTCAAAAAATTATTTCAAAGCAACCTTGCCATATGCTCTTTTTGTTGTTCTTGTCTTTTACTATTGACCTCAATACCCTGTCATTGTTTCTATGGGGAAATGCACAAGCAAACAAACAAATGGCAGGCTTAAGGAAGAGGGGGACAACAGCTAAAGAGAGAGAGGGAGCGGTATCGGGAGATATAAACAGTGGAACACAAAAGCTAGCGGCAAATGTAACGGTAACTTGTTAAATGAAAAACAATTCAAAGAATTTCAAACAAAGCCAAAAAAAAAAAAACATACAAAAACAAAAATAAATAGAAACGTCAAGGAAAACCGGAAAAATAATAAAAAGAATATCCCCAAACAAGAATATAACTAATGGGTCTTTGCATAAAATGCGATATGAAATGGGGAAATGTGTTTTCCTTTCGCTTTCCTTTCGCTTTCCTTCATAATGGTCATTATTTGGAATATGCTTCCGTTCTGTGTAGTTAACTGTCAGACTTGCTTATATCCCTTTTTTGTGGCTAGCTCTTTTCACTTGTTGGGCGAAAGACACTTCGTAAACCATAAACTATGAATAGTTCTTTTTAGTTTTAGAATCGTATTTGTTATTATTTTAAAGATTGATAGCCACTTGTATTGATTTGTCCATATTTTATATACTTCCCTAAACTCGAAGCCTTATCGTGTTCCGGCTTACTTAAATGAAGTGTAATAGTTCGTGTGAAGTTGCTGAATTGGTTCCAAATTGTGTTCCTCATTATGTTGAGTTTTGGTTCCAGTTCTGAATACCGTAATATCAGTTAAGTTACGGTTCCAGTTCCGTTTCCAGTTTCACAGCTTTACAATAATAATAATTACACAGTCTTTCCTTACTCTACACTTATCAAAGAATTATTTGGTTCTTTTTTACTTTTGTAATGTTTTAAATTACATAAAATGCACAAATATTTGCATTTAAGTATAGAGTTGTCTGGGAATGATTTATGAGCTGGCTTGATTTTAGTTTTGCCAAGCAACATTTTATTTATTAAACTCAATTTTCATATTGTTTTTTCTTTGCTGGTTGGTGTGCAAATCGTTGTTTTGCCTGAGGGAGAGTTAGTTCTTACTCGTAGCAATTTGCAACATAATCGCAAGATCATATAAATGGCTCAACTTCAATTTATAACCCGAGCATATATTTCAAAGCACGACGACGACGACGACGCCAAAAAAAGGACTCCCCAATGTCCTGTGTATGTGTGTGTGTCGTCGAAACAGAAGCAACACCAAATAAATCAACTGAAACCGAAAGTGGGTGGCACAAAAGAAAAAACTGGCATTGGGGATTAAAGGGAGGGAGGGCTTATAACATTTCTGGAGTGTGTGTGTGGGAGTGTGTGTATGTGTGTGTGGGTGTAAGTGTGTGTGCCTGGCGATGTTCCTTTTTATTTGTTTCGTGACAGCGAAAAAAGAATCGAACTATAAAAGCCGGAATAAAGAAAGAATATCGTTTTGTTTTCGTTTCTATTTTTATGTAGAAGCTTAAATGCCGTTGCAAAGCTAGTTAAATATAAATAAAATGAATCAGATAAATACATATAATATAATACAATCAAACAATTATTATACACTGAAGTTAAAATAAAGGTTGCAAGCTGATTACATATAGATATATAAAAGCAGACAAATGTATATAATAAAATATAGCCAAACAAAAGGGTATCATTAAGTTGTGCTAAAGAAACAGGCAGAAGGTAGCAGTTCCAACCCCATAAAGCATATATATTCTTGATCAGCATTACTAGGCGAGTCTATATAGTCAGGCCCATTTTGAATACTATAAGAGATAAATGTAGAATATAAGAATATACACTCAGATTAATTTTATCGATAACTGTCCTCGTTTCACGAATATCGATACAAATCGATTTAGATATAGCCTTCAAATTGATGCATAAATATCCTGACACTTTCATATTGAACAAAAAAGTATTTGTTTCTTGAGCTATTTCGAATAGCGTTTTCAAATTTGTTCTTTAAAGTAATTGAGTGTATTATATTTACCTACTGGTTACAGCTAGTTAAGCTTTAAAAATG